AGTCGGATGACAGGACTCCCTGGGCGTCCGGGAGTCCGCGGCCGTGTCGGCATCCTTAGTGGAGGGCTCGGCGGACCGACGACGTCCTCCGTCTGAGTGGCCCGGTCGACGGTCGGTCGTGGCCGCGGGTCCGTTGGCGGTCGCTCTCGGTCCGGCAGCTGCAGCGGAATCAGGCGCCACGGGCGGAGTGAGATCCCGGGATCCAGGCGACGCTCGTGGCCTGGTCGGAAACCGCTGCCGCCTTCCTCGGCGAGGTTCGGAGGTAGAGTGCCCCGGGGGAAACAGGTGGCCCCCTCTTCTTGGCTCGCGGCGTGTTGCTGGCTGTTTCCTTACGATGCGGCGAGATTAGTCCCCCTGGGCGGGCGATTTGACGAGGCGTCAGGTGTACGGAGGCCCTGAGCTCGCTCAGGGTTGAGGGGCCGGAACTTCCGCTTCCCCTCAACGTCTGAGGCCTGTAGAGCACTCTCCGTGGGTACAGGATATTCGAATTGCTTCAGGATAACGGCCTACTAGGTAAGCTCGCATTATCCTGAAGCGAGGAACAGGCTGAAGACCTCCCACGGAGCCCTAGATATAGCGGGCGTGGGTGTTTCTTCATTACGAGATTTGTCGTGGCGCCTGCGGCGCCTAGCGGCGGCGCCGCGCACCACTCTCGTCACGCGGGCTCGGCGCGCGGGCCAAACACGCGTGCATTAATGTAAGCGTACCGCTATAGCACTTCCTTGTCAGTGGGGAACCCACGATTATCATAAGCCTGCTTGAAACCGATCCGGGAAGTGGACTCGTCGTCCGGATCTCGTGGTCCTCGTGGATGGTTCTGTTCTGTCTTTTAGGAGTTGTGTTGGTGCCTCTTCTGTGTCGTCTGTATCGGCTAACAAGTATGCCGGTTTGACTCTGTCTATCGACACGTTGACCATCTTGTTGTTTATCTTGACTTTGATGGTCTTGTCCCTTCGCTCGATAACTTGATATGGTCCGTCGTACGGTGGTTGCAAGATTGTCTTGGGCCCATCATGTCGTACGAAGACGTGGCTGCTTGTTGCGAGATCCTTAAAGACGAATGAATGTCTTCTGTGCTGCGTGGTTGGTCCCTTCCTTTGGTCGCAACTGTTCGAACTGCTGGCGCAGCGTTTTGATCAGATGAGCTGCGTCATCAGCAGTGTTGATAGGCTCTTGGTTTAAGAATTGGCCTGGTAGCCGGAGTGTTTCACCGTACACTAGCTCGGCTGTGGTTGCGTCCAAGTCTTCGCGCCAGGCGGCGCGGATGCCCAGAAGGATTGTAGGCAAGGCTTCTGTCCATCTGTCGTTTGCGTGACACCTGATCGCAGCTTTTAACTGGCGATGAAACCTTTTGACCAGTCCGTTTGCTTGCGGATGGTATGCTGTCGTGCGTAGGTGTTTGCTGCCCGTCAGTTCGTTCAGCTGCTTGAACAGCTGTGACTCGAACTAGCGTCCTTGATCGGTGGTGATCCGCAGGGACACGCCAAAGCGGCTAATTCAGCCGTTGTAAAATGCTTTGGCTACGGTTTCAGCTTCCTGGTTTTCCATAGGGATTACTTCTGGCCATCTCGAAAAG